ATTTCTCTCATGAGTTTATCTTCCTTGCGATTTTTATTTATTTTTTGTCTTCATGAGCTGGCCAGACGTCCTTATGACCAGCTGGAGACTTATGAGTGTATGTCTCTTTGTCCAGTTCGTCTAGATACTTTCTTGTGTCCAGGGGCCAGTCAATATTTTTAGAGAGTTAGGGTCATGTGTGGTTTTTAACATCTCACCAACGCTTTGAGTGAATTGAACTAGAATTTGCATTTAATTTCTGAATATTGTGTTGTGTTGTGTAGTACGTGGCTGTCATGTGATAAAAAAGATGTGATGAGCTTACTGTCAGAAATAAAGCCAGCCAGCCAGCCAGTCAGCCAGCCAGCCAGACAGACAGACAGACAGACAGACAGATAGATAGACAGACAAAGACTCACTTAGCCACTCACCTGTACTGGCTGGGTTCGTTGCCATTGGTTGCTCTGACTTTGCTCACCAGGATACGGATGATGTTCACCACGAAGATGATATTGATCTGTGGCCAGGGGCAGGAGGTGGGGGCAGGAGAGGTGGTAAGAGGGCAAGAAGAGGGCAAAAGGAGAGGGAAGGAGGGGTGGTAGAGGCAAGAAGAGGGCAAGAGGAGAGGGCAGGAGGGTGGCAGGAGGAAAAGGGGGGTGGTAGGAGGGCAGGGAGAAGGCAGGAGGGTGGTAGGAGGGCAAGGGGGTGTGATAGGAGGGCAAGGATAGGGCAGGAAGGGTGGTTAGAGGGCAAGTAAAGGGCAGGGAGGTAGGGAGAGAGAACATGAAGCATCACTCGCAGAAAAATCAAATATTATACAGAGTTTAAAGATTATAGTATAAGCATAATAACTTGACCCACCACACCCACACTACCAGAGCCTGACCCACCTGACCCACACTACCAGAGCCTGACCCACCACACCCACACTACCAGAGCCTGACCCACTACACCTACACTCACTGAGCCTGACCACCACACCCATTATTCAACAGAGCCTGACTCCACCTGACCCACCACACCCACACTCAACAGAGCCTGACCCACCACACCCACACACTACCAGAGCCTGACCCACCTGACCCACACTACCAGAGCCTGACCCACCACACCCACACTACCAGAGCCTGACCCACCACACCCACACTACCAGAGCCTGACCCACCACACCCACCACACCCACACTACCAAAACCTAACCCACTGCACCTACACCCTAACATATATACTCCTCTCCTATCAGTACACTTAATATATTCTACAAGGTACACATGTAACCAATCCTAGACTATGATTACTTAAAGAATTACTCTTAACAACAGCTCTAATATACTATCATATATATAATAAGAAAATAAACGAAGATATGATTATAGATTTAATGGTAATATTATTGTTTTTGATGCGTAAATATATGGTGGTCCTGAAAAATGTCCCTGCTTACCTCCCAACCTGCCTGCTATCTGCCTCTCTCTTACAGTGTCTCAGGGAGCAGGCAGGCAGGGAGGGAAGCAGGATGGGAGGCAGGGAGCAGGCAGGGTGGAAAGCAGGGAGTAGGCAGGGTGGAAAGCATGGAGCAGGCAGGGTAGGAGGCAGGGAGCAGGCAGGGTGGGAGGTAGGGAGCAGGCAGGGTGGAAGGCAGGGAGCAGGCAGGGAGCAGGCAGGTAGGGAGGGAGGCATGGTGGGAGGCAGGGAGCAGGCAGGCAGGGTGGGAGGGAGGCAGGGGGCAGATAGGGTGGGAGAAAGGAAGCAGGCAGGGAGCAGGCAGGGTGGCAGGCAGGGAGCAGGCAGGGAGAGAGGCAGGGATGGAGGCAGGGAGGGGAATATCTTTCCGGAACTCCCTACATATGGCTGACGTACCAGGATAGCCAGGAGCGGCGGCAGGTTAATGATCCAGTCGAGGCTTTCGTTCGGCATTATCCAGCAGTCTGTGTTATCGTCACGCAACCCCCGCACCACACTGTACACCGTCAGAGGCACCAACGGGAAACCTGTGTACGTAGAACACTGTACGTTAACAATTTGGGACAGTGTACGTGGTAGAGGTACTGTACGTTAAAGAAATATTCTTGGCAGTGTACTTGGGAAATGTACTGTACTCTCTCTCTCTCTCTCAGTCGAGTTTCCTAAAGTGTGTGTGTGTGTGTGTGTGTGTGTGTGTGTGTGTGTGTGTGTGTGTGTGTGTGTGTGTGTGTGTGTGTGTGTGTGTGCGTGTACTAGTTTATATACTGTACTCTTCTCAAAAACAGTAAACAAATAAAATCATATTAGTCTCTTAGAACAATGAACAAACAATAACAACTTCTCTAGAACAACTAAGCAATCGTAAACAAGCTCTCTAGACCCTTAAGTAAACAAGAAGAAGATCTATAAACCCCAAGTAAACAAAAGAAGTTCTCTGTACCCCCGTGAGCAAACACTGGCAAAACTATAAGAAGCAAACAATGGTAGGGTCATGAGAGGTTCCGGTGGGGATACGCCACTATTCGTTGTTTACAGGATAATACTGACACTTTACGATGACCACTACACTTGTTTATATGCAAATGAAGTCAATCTATTTCGTTGTTATTATTTGCTGTTGGAGAGAGAGAGAGAGAGAGAGAGAGAGAGAGAGAGAGAGAGAGAGAGAGAGAGAGAGAGAGAGAGAGAGAGTGAATGAATGTGAGCATGGGAAAGTGAGTGAGTGACTATGACTATTCAATAAGTGTGAGTAATTAGTGTGATAGGTTAGGTTAAGTGTGGGTAGTGTGGGTGTAGGTTAGTGTGGGTGTAAGCAAGTGAGTGTGAAGGTATACACAGTGTTTGTGCATACGACTGTGACACAAATACATAAACTATTATACACTTACGTAGATCCTTCCAGGCCAACCAGGAATTAGGAAGGCACTCACCCCAGCCAATGAGGAATTAGGAAGGCACTCACCCCAGCCAATGAGGAATTAGGAAGGCACTCACCCCAGCCAATGAGGAATTAAGAAGGCACTCACCCCAGCCAATGAGGAATTAAGAAGGCACTCACCCCAGCCAATGAGGAATTAAGAAGACACTCATCTCAGCTAATCAGGAATCAACAAGACACTGAGCAGCCAGTTAATTCAAGAGGACACTCACCTCGACCAATCAAGAGACACAAAGACACTCACCCCAGCCAATGAGGTAGAAGATGACGAGGCTGTTCTGCTCAGCGAAGGCGGAGGCGAGCAACTTGTGGAGGTAGAAGCCTTCACAGAGGTACCACATATAGTTGCTCAAGCTGGTGTACTTGGTCAGGAGGTTCAGTGTCACGCACCACGTCAGGTTCTGTGCCAAGGAGAGTCATGGGTGGATCAGGTGTGAGTAATGGGTGAATCAGGCGTGAGTTATGGGTGAATCAGGTGTGAGTTATGGGTGAATCAGGTGTGAGTTATGGGTGAATCAGGTGTGAGTTATGGGTGAATCAGGTGTGAGTTATGGGTGAATCGAGTGTGAGTTATGGGTGAATCGAGTGTGAGCCATGGGTGAATCAGGTGTGAGTTATGGGTGAATCAGGTGTGAGTTATGGGTGAATCGAGTGTGAGCCATGGGTGAATCAGGCGTGAGTTATGGGTGAATCAGGCGTGAGTTATGGGTGAATCAGGCGTGAGTTACGGGTGAATCATGTCTGAGTCATAGGTGTGCTAGGTGTTAGTCAGAGAGCTACTAATGACAGCCTCAGGGAATCCAGCTTCAGTATGGGTGTTGATGTTATTCGTCGGGATGAGCTGACGAAATTATATAAACTCGGAGGAAATATTATATTAGCGTTATAGTTTGAAGGTGATACACGTATACATGTGTCTCCTGGGGTACTGTACATGTTCAAAGGCCGCGTGTCGGAGTTTCTAAGTAGTGTTGTTAAATAGTGTCTTTAATATATAGATGATACAAGGAATGTCACATGATACTATTCATGGAGAAAGTATCGGTTGTTCCATTATCTTCGTCAACCAGCGTTTGAAGAGTGTTGGTAGGGTGTTTACAGCGGTACTGTCTGTGGGTGATGGGATCGGGTGTCCAGATACGAGCCATTTTATACGCATTTGGTCTTCTCGTGTGTAGACTGCAGACCTAAAGTTTTGAATACGCATTCAGGGTTGTTGATATTTAACTGTTAACAAAACTTAACTTAAGCTAACTATACAGTATTAATTAAGTAACAGTTCACATGACCATGATTTCACCGCATGAACTATCACCATTTGGGTTAACACTAAACACCACTGACAACTTCTCATTTATGATCATTATCTGTCATCCAATGGCCTAATAAGTTTACCGCTGGACAAATACAATGTTAATTAAAACAATCTAAGCGCCTACCAAGTTTGGTGCAAATCCACGAAACAGTTCTGGAGTTATTTTGGGGGCGTAATGACAGTCATATAGACAGGACCAAAATCAATACCCTCCACGCATTTGCGGGCAGGGTAATAATCTAGCATAGTTATCGTTAAAACAAACTTTGTAAATAACAAAGTTAGAATCAGCTTTACACTTCTACTAATGGATGAATTGTGTCATCAGATCTGCCAGACATAGAGTCATCATTATACACAAAGGTTTATTACTGCACCAGGAACATTGATATTATGTCATAAAAGATATTGTTGACCTGACGGTGGAGTGTGACAGTGACCACACAACATGGTAGTGGTGGTGGCAATGTGTGACAGTGACCACACAACATGGTAGTGGTGGTGGCAATGTGTGACAGTGACCACACAACATGGTGGTGGTGATGGCAATGTGTGACAGTGACCACACAACATGGTAGTGGTGGTGGCAATGTGTGACAGTGTGTCAGATATTGACGAAAAACATGTAATCCATTTTCTGAGACATGGTTGTTTAGCTGTGTAATTTTTGAAAGAATCTGATGAAAATATTTGATGTTGGATTACGAAGAGTGTGACCTTCACTTTCCTCTGACCCGGAAGTTGATAAATGTTTGCAAAATTGTCAAGTGGCGACCGAGTGACAAGGCCTACTAACTGTAATATTTACGTGATAATTATTTAGTAATATTTGATGCTAATGTGCAAAAGTTCTGTTGACCTTTGACCCTGACCGAAGTGATCACCTGAGTAAAGTGGTCGCTGTAGAAAGTTAATTAGCCCTTCTTTAGTGTGGGATGACCTTCACTGATGACCTCTGACCTTGATGATTTTATGATGCTGAGTCGCTCACCATTATCGAAACTGACCTGTACTTCAATTTTGAAAACCTTGCCCTAAAATTTGTCAAGAATCCGTCAAGAGAAACTAAAGAAAGTTTGCTAAAACCTGTATTAGCTCCTGTTAAATACAGTAATACTTATATAAATGTGAACTATATACATTTTGTTTATATAATTACATCACCCACGGTAATTAAACTAAAAGTGTTACTTATGCACGTGACGTTATGGTCACATAGCCTCAACGTCTTTCAACTGACCTTGGCGCTCCATTGCCCAGCATAGGTCAACAATAAGATGGTTACAGGCAGTTGATATCGGTCCTTCCAGATGTGTATAATCAGAAGCTTCCATATTACCTTCTTATTCTCTCATAAGTTCCACGTTCACTGTGTAATTACTGTATTATCACACTTTAACTGTGCAGAGAACTATTTTAGAGAATAAAACAGAACGAAAACATTATATCGGTTTACAAATCTACCCAAATTAACTTTTGTTTACTCCTGTCACCAACCAGCTGTACTAACAGGTATTACATTAATGGTATGATCCCTCTACGATAGACTAAAGGTGACAGTACAATAAACCAGATCTAACCACATACAAAATAAACAACAGATGTTACTCTACGGCATCACAAAGTGCATCTATAAAAACCGATATTAGATTAGTCTGCTTTTACGTACCCACTGTTATAGGACAATTTAGAACTGGTTTTCGGGCAGCTGAGGGTGAGTGGTAAGAGGGGGGGGGGGGGTTACTTTATTGATATCACGTGTGGTGGCAGGTCAGGGTCGTGGGCCAGAACAACAATGGGTCCCCGGCTGTTGTGTTGGCAGTGAGCCCCAACGATAACCTGACGTTATTACTCTATAAAAGTCACTAGCTGGATAAAATGAAAACTGCTGTAAGACGTTTGAATGTTGCCTATTGACTGTTACAGACACTCGTCACTTCAAACAGGAAGAGAAAAAAACTTCACTGGATTGCCAAAAACACTCATCACTTCACTGGGTCGCCATTGGAAAAACCTCGATTGTTATTGTTATGTGGACAACGACTGCTGGTGAAGCTATTTTTCACACGTAGGTCCTTGTTACCCTCACCACCTGACACTCAAAGGAGATCAGCCGCTCGTAGTTAGGTCTTGTCTCGTTGGGGTGTTATGAACGGTTACTCTCTCCTGGGAGTGTTGAGAATGTTTGTTGTTTCCTGGGAGTGTTGTGAACGTTTGTTGTTTCCTGGGAGTGTTGTGAACGTTTGTTGTCTCCTGGGAGTGTTGTGAACGTTTGTTGTCTCCTGGGAGTGTTGTGAACGTTTGTTGTCTCCTGGGAGTGTTGTAAACGTTTGTTGTCTCCTGGGAGTGTTGTGAACGTTTTATAATGTTTATCTATCAGACCAAAGCTCCCACCCTACAGTGACTAAGGTGAGATTAAGACCTGACCCAACAGAGGTCACGGTCATAAAGGGAACCAGAGTTCTCAACGCCGCATGGTTAGTTAAACCCGCGTCTTGACCTTGTTAATTCAAGGAACTGCTATCCATCCAGTACTTCTGACACCTGACCAACCAGGCCGGTCTAGACACACCCAGATTAGTATTAATTAAGAGAGGACATCTACCGGCCTGAGACCTCCAATATAAGGGGCCTTCAGTTCCTTCCACGCATCATTATAACCATGAAGGGGCCAGCAACGCTCGCTCCCCAGTCCCGCTCGTCGTCTCACCAGCTGCATCGAAGAAGTCCGCCAATAAGTGCAACGAGGTCCCAGCCCAGTTCATCGACGGTGTGCTATCTACTCATCGTGTTAAAATAAGTACTGGCTGTGTAGTCGGTGGTAGTGCAGTGATCCTGAGCCTCCCCAATGATCGACATAGTGGAAGAGCCCGTTTTACTTGTTAGGTAATAGGAATATACCATAATCTACTATATATTGTGTACGAACCCACATTAATCCCCCCCTCGTTCAACTAGTAAAATAAAGCTGTAACATCATTTGTGTTTTATATACTACACTTGTACTGAGCTTGTGTTAATGTGTATTATTATCTGTACACCCTCGAGTCAGGCTGCCAACATTCCTCACTTTACAACCCTAACTACTATAAATTCTTACCTTACGTCTTCATATGAGATTTAACCTCATTATAGTTGTTGTCTCCTGGGAGTGTTGTGAACGTTTGTTGTGTCCTGGGAGTGTTGAGAACGTTTGTTGTGTCCTGGGAGTGTTGTGAACGTTTGTTGTGTCCTGGAAGTGTTGTGAACGTTTGTTGTCTCCTGGAAGTGTTGTGAACGTTTGTTGTGTCCTGGGAGTGTTGAGAACGTTTGTTGTGTCCTGGGAGTGTTGAGAACGTTTGTTGTCTCCTGGGAGTGTTGTGAACGTTTGTTGTGTCCTGGGAGTGTTGAGAACGTTTGTTGTCTCCTGGAAGTGTTGTGATCGTTTGTTGTCTCCTGGAAGCGTTGTGAACGTTTGTTGTCTCCTGGAAGTGTTGTGAACGTTTATTGTCTCCTGGAAGTGTTGTGAACGTTTGTTGTCTCCTGGAAGTGTTGTGAACGTTTGTTGTCTCCTGGAAGTGTTGTGAACGTTTGTTGTCTCCTGGGAGTGTGAATGCTTACTGTCTCCAGGGAGTATTGTGAACGTTTGTTGTCTCCTGGTGGTGTTGGCTGATGAGTTACACACCTGCTGGAGGATGAATTACACACCTGCTGGAGGATGAGTTACACACCTGCTGGAGAATGAGTTACACACCTGCTGGAGGATGAGTTACACATCAGGTGGAGGATGAGTTACATATCTGCTGGAGGATGATCTACACACCTGGTTGATGAGGTCTTTCTTGTACAGCTGCAGGAACCTGAAGGTGATAACGCCCACCGCTTCCAGCAGCAGACTCAGAAACAGGTGTTTGTGCAGCGTGATGCGGTGAACACGCAGCTGTCTGGGGGAGGAGAAGAGACGGGGTAATGCATCTGTCTGAGGGTAGGAAAGTAGAGATAGGAGGAAAGAGAGGTAAGAGGGTAGGTGCGGTTTCGTTTATGTCAGCAGGGTGTTCGGTAGGTAGGTAGGTAGGTAGGTAGGTAGGTAGGTAGGTGGTAGGTGGTGGGTGGGTGGTGGGTGGGTGGTGGGTGGGTGGGTAGGTAGGTAGGTAGGTAGGTAGGTAGGTAGGTAGGTAGGTAGGTACAGTAGGCAGTTGGATGAACTCTCAAGACACCCCCAGAAAATACGTGTATTATTTATTTAAAGTAAAGTATATTTCCCACGGAGAGCAGCGGTCGAGTGGGTACATCGCTCACCTCCTGTTCCGGGCACTCTCAGTTCATCCAGTTGAAGGAGGTGGGTACAGTACCGGGTATGTTGCCTCCTTACGTGCCGAAGGCTTTATGTACAGTGTGCTGTGTCTACACTAATCCTAACGGGCAGTCATGCTTATGGAACTCACATTCACTTTTCATAGTTCACACGAGAATCGATTTAGTATCTCTGACACATAGTGTACGTGAGATTCCTTCGACACCACAGTACCATAGATGACTTCACAGAGACAAGGGAAATTTTCTAGAATTGAGAAGATACTTAGCAGGCGTGTAGAGATTATCGATCTATCTACAGTAAGCGAGTGACGGTTTAGTCAGAGTACAGGTAAACATTCGTCTGTCTTTGTAACTTGGATAAGCGTGTTGCGACGACAGAGAACGCCAGGTGGTGGTCACCGTTTTTCAGCTGGCGCTCTTTTCTTCATGATACTGGACACTAGAAACAATGACAACATACAGGGCGTAGGGGAGACTAATGGTGATCGACACAACACACTCGTGACTCACTTATAGGACAAGAAGATACAGAGGGCGGGGAGAAGGGCGGCGACCGAGACGCTGTAGGCGGCGATGTGGACGTACAGGCGACGGTGGATGTTGTGCTCCACACTGCATGACGAGTAGTTGCTCCACTCCTGACCTGATCCCGTCCGACGGAACCACATGCCATCCGTCTCGCATTTCTTCGTCGCCTGTTCTGTGGGAGACAGTAAGGGGGAATAATAAGTCCAAGGTAGATCCTGTGCCATGTTTAGGAAGACCATGACGCCCAGAAGTATGGGTGTATGGGTCGTGTTTCAGATTATCTTGAAGTGTACTGAACTCTCTCCTGCCTCGCCTGTCTTCCTGCCACTATATACAAGGTGGGTTTGGTTTCTACACATCCTCAGGTTCACTGGTCACAACTGCTGCTCGCCCACCATCTCCCTCGCCACTGTCATACCCCCTCGCCCTCCATCTCCCTCGCCACTGTCATACCCCCTCGCCCTCCATCTCCCTCGCCACTGTCATACCCCCTCGCCCCCCATCTCCTCACTGTCATACCCCCTCGCCCTCCATCTCCCTCGCCACTGTCATACCCCTCGCCCTCCATCTCCCTCGCCACTGTCATACTCCCTCGCCCTCCATTTCCTCACTGTCATACCCCCTCGCCTCCATCTCCCTCGCCACTGTCATACCCCCTCGCCCACCATCTCCCTCGCCACTGTCATACCCCCTCGCCCTCCATCTCCCTCGCCACTGTCATACCCCCTCGCCCTCCTCCTGTGACCTAATTCAGTTTTAACGGACTAGAAAGAGAAATTAGAGACCCAACAATGGTTAATATTCGTCATCAGTTCAGGAATAAATAATGCCTGTGAAGATACAACAACAAAATACAACAGTAACTACATATAATTCTATAGATGGAAAAATGATTGTAAAAATTTAGATATTTTTCTTATTAACAATTAGAGTGGAAGGATTTACAAATTAATTCATTGGAAGGAAGAGCAGGAACGAACAAATAGAGGAGAGTTCTTTGTTACGATACATACAGAAGAAGATGGAGGAACTTACTGGCACATGAAGGTTCCCTGCCGTAGTAGATGTAGGAGGGGCAGGGTCTCATAGCCTCGGTGTCTCTGGGTGTGGCTGACCAACACTGCCAGCCGTCCCACGTGTTCGGACAGTGACCTGGAATGGTGGATTAGAGTCAGCATAAGAACAAGGACACTGAATCCAACAAGCCTTACTATGAAGTTTTATATTTTCGTTTTATCAGTTTACATTCTCTGCGTTATAAGAAGAAAAAAATCCTGTAACAAAATACTTTAGCTCCCCTCCTTCCCCCGCCAGTCATCTACTGTGGTTGTCTTTTTCCACTCCGACTATAAACCTACATTACTATGTTACTTATCCGTCCAAAAAACTATCAATGGACGGCTTATCATCTCCAACATTGTCTACTAAAAAAACCCAAAAGCATTAAAACAGGAAACTTGAAATATTACAGCGGCAGGACACAGGTGGAACTGAAAAACAAACTCAAACTTAACTATGGTACTAGAGTGATCATCTATAATTTGAAGGCCAATCAGAATCACGTATTCAAGTCTGAAGCTAAAACTGATTCACCCGAAGGAAATGAAAACCAGAACATAAATAAATTCCAATTTCGTAATTACTTGTTCAAAAAAGTCTTAGTAGAAAGAAAAAACAAACTCATTCAGAAACCTTAATTACTCGACTTCTTTGATTTTTCGATGATAGTTTTAGGTGTTTTTAAGTGATTCTATGTAGCTAGCACGTCGACTTCCTACCCCAAAGAGACAAAACAAAATGGGTCACCAGCGAAATATTTAGAATATTTTAATTATGTTCGAAAATCCCTCCAAAAGGTCAGCATTTATAAGATGTTAGTAACTGGTGATGACTGTTAGTAACTGGTGATGACTGTTAGTGACTGTTTATGGCTGCTAGTGACTGGTGATGACTGTGAGTGACTATAGATGACTGTTAGTGGCTTTTGATGACTGTTAGTGACTTGATGACTGGTAGTGACTGGTGGTGACTGTCAGTGACTGGTGATAACTGGTGATGACTGTTAATGACTGGTGATGACTGTTAGGACCCGCTGTCACTGTGTATTGCCTCCCTAACTATCTGTCGAGAGAGACTACGAGAGATCCTTAGCGTCAGCAGGTGGAGAAGGTGAGAGAGACAGTATAGAGAGGAGTGTTTATTGTGACGTCATGAAAGAGATACAGGTGTTTATTGTGACGTCATGAAAGAGATACAGGTGTTTATTGTGACGTCATGAAAGAAATACAGGTGTTTATTGTGACGTCATGAAAGAAATACAGGTGTTTATTGTGACGTCATGAAAGAAATACAGGTGTTTATTGTGACGTCATGAAAGAGATACAGGTGTTTATTGTGACGTCATGAAAGAAATACAGGTGTTTATTGTGACGTCATGAAAGAAATACAGGTGTTTATTGTGTTGAAAACGCGGAGACAAAAACCTCAGGTAAGACGATTAGAATTTCACAGTGTTCTGGTCAGATCCTTCTTTGTGTGGCAGAAAATATGAAAAAAATAGTTAACTAGAATCTCTTTTGATTTTAAACTCTGAAATTATCATACCAGAATAAATTGACTGTTTTTCGTTAGCATTTTGTTTATTTCCTTTTAATAAGCTTCATGCAGTTATACAAAAACAAATATCTCAATAAATAAAAACATGTACAGAATCTTGAAATAATTAGAATATTTTTGTCCATTTTGTATTGCTGGTATGTAAACAGATCTTGTATAAGCTACCAGACAGTGGATATGTTACCAGCTGACGGTGGATATGTTACTAGCTGACAGTGGATGGATACTAGCTGACGGTGGATAGATTACTAGCTGAGAATGGATAGTTGACGGCGGATAGGTTACCAGCTGATAGTAGAATACCCGAAACAGAGACCAGGGAAAAACGTCACGCGACCTACACCACAATGCTGTGTATATTTTCTGAAACACTCGTCGCTGTCTTCAGTAAAGGTACTACATAAACTTTGACAAGTCAGTAGAGTGAGAGGGTCCCAGTCCTGATAGGTCCCAACCTAACCTAACCTAACCTAACCTAATCATTTCAACTGGTGTCCGTTAGGATTGCGGATCATTAAAACTGGGGCCCATCAGGACTAGGTCCCAATCCTAGTGATTAGATCAGATCAGGTCAGGTTAGGTCATATCTAGTTAGGTTAGGGCAGCAGACGCCAAGTGAATATAATAATCACTTGCCTTGTGACGAAGTCACCGGTTTCATTCCTGCGGCCGGCCACAAAGTGAAGCGCCCACAGTCGACCCAGCTGCAGACTGGGTACTTTATTGTTGGGAAACTGAAATCTTGTGTCCACACTACCGGTATAGGAGCTACAGGATTTAATTGTAATTTCTTCGCTATTAGGAGTGAGTCAGCAGCGAGCGAGAGTGGTTCTTGGGCCTCACTGGCTGTTGAGTGTTTGGTGATGGTCCGCGTCTACTTCGCTTTACTGGCTCATCCTCTGTTGCTGAAGAGTTTTAGTTACGTCAACACTTGAGACAGACGGAACAGCGGTAGACCTGTCAATTCCTTTCTCGACCATTGGCCAATGATTGTTTTCTTGTGTAAATTAGTCATTGGTGATCAACAGAATTATTTCTGTTGGTCTTGTAGCAGACCATCTGCCTCATTTGTGGTGTCGTTGGTTGGGTGCAGGTCACACGTGCCTCTGTCCTGCGTCTGCTCGGAGCTAACCTAACCTAACCTAACCGAACCTAAACTAACCTAACCTAACCTTCGTGATTGGAGGTCAATGGAACTGAGGCCCATTAGAGCTTGGACTTATTTCATTAGACATCTCGTTGGTGTCTGCAAGTACCAAGTTCACATCCAAGTTGAAGGGGTGACTGATCCAGTATAATGAAGCTCAGAGTTCAGTGTGTGAAAAAAAAATCAAGCTTGACCCATACGCACAGTTAAGCTGCCTCACTACTACACCAGGATAACTAACGTTGTCACCTTTAATACAACGTCACTATCATCATCAACCTGAACGCTTACTTGTCTAAACACCACAAAATGTCTTACAAGAGGTACGAGTATATTTTTGCGTGTGTTTTTATAAGTAAACCCACAAACGCAGCGACGTAGACGGAGATCATTCCCAAGGCCCTGAGACTGGGCAACTCTCTTTATATCCTCCTATTTAAATGTAGCCAAAACTAACATTATTCCTCGTTGGAAATATTTTCTGTACCATCAAATGTTTTGGGATTACTTGTAAAAAGGTAAAATCTTTGTATTTCGGTTAAGTGAGTTTTGTGGATACTCTGAGTTTACGGCCGAGTACTGTTCTTTTGCTGTAAAGTTTCATACAAAAATTTTCCATTTTTAGGAAACAGTTCCTTTGACTGCGCAAAAAGGTGTGGGTGTGGTGGACGAGTCGGTGAGTGCAGGGAAGGGGAGTGAATGCCTTCATCCACAGTAATTCAATTCCACACAAAACGGAACCCGTAACGTTTTCTAAAAAAAAAAAAAGAAGGCATTTTTCAGTCGAGAAGTGGCCGCGGCTGTTGTGGCGCCAGGCACCAGCAGAAACGCTGAAACCTCGGGCTGAGTAAAGTGACAAAGATGCCGCTAAAACCTCGTGGTAAAACACTTACCGCAAGGCCACTACACTTACCAGGAGGCCATCGCACTTACTTGGAGGCCACTACACTTACTTAGAGGCCACTACACTTACTCGGAGGCCACTACACTTACTTGGAGGCCACTACACTTACTTAGAGGCCACTACACTTACCAGGAGGCCACTGCACTTACTTGGAGGCCACTACACTTGTAGAGGCCACTACACTTGCCAGGCCACTGCCACTGCACTTGCTTGGAGGCCACTACACTGATACCTTAGGAGGCCACTACACTTACCACTACACAACCAGGGGAGAGGCCATTACACTTACTGGAGGCCACTACACTTGCTGGGGAGGCCACTACACTTGCTAAGAGGCCACTGCACTTGCTTGTGGCCACTACACCTGCTTAGAGGCCACTACACTTACTGGGCCACTACACTTATTAGAGGCCACTACACAACCGGGAGGCCATTACACTTACTAGGAGGCCACTACACTTACTGGGAGGCCACTACACTTACTGGGAGGCCATTACACTTGCTAAGAGGCCAATACACAACCGGGAGGCCATTACACTTACTAGGAGGCCACTACACCTACTGGGAGGCCACTACACTAACTAGGAAGTCACTGCACTTACCGGGAGGCCACTACATTTACGGAGAGGCCACCACACTTACGGAGAGGCCACCAGACTTACCGGGAGGCCATTACACTCCTAAGAGGCCACTACACTTACCGGAAGTCCATTACACTTACCAGGAGGCTACTACGCTTACTAGGAGGCCACTACACTTGCTAAGATGTCACTGCACTTACTGAGAGGCCACAACACTTACTGAGAGGCCGTTACATTTACCGTAAAGCTACTACATTTATCGGGAGGCCACTGCACGTAACGGGAGGCCACTGCACTTAATGGGAGGCCACAGCACATACTTATAGGCCCAAATACTTACTGAGAATCTACGACATTTAATAAGAGGCCACTACACTCACCAGTAGGCCAGGAGGCGGTGAGCATTTGGTCGCAGCACTGGACGGCGGCCTCACAGCAGCTGCGCCATTTGGAAGGACCAACTTCACCCTTGAAGGACGCCAACACCGCCTCCGAGGTCACAACAGCTTCCTCCTGGGGGCGTGGAGAGGATTATATGACACGTGATGAATATATGACACGTGATGAATATATGACACGTGATGGTAATTATAAACGAATAATCAGTCATGATAATTTATAATCACCTCACCGCCTAATCTTGTTCTAGCTGCCTTGGAAGACAGTTTCCCGGGTTGATCAATTAGGTGGGGTATAATTAGGCTCCCGAGAACACAATATATCACTTAATTGTCTTGTGCGGCCCTGGTTCATTATCATGGCTCGTGTGTGTGTGTGTGTGTGTGTAATTGTATTGGTGTGTATTATATGTATACACGCACAGTCTATATAGAAACACACACACACACACACGAGGTTAAACTTAATATGTCATTATCTTACTTCCTCCAAGAATTTAAATAGATATACACATCATAATTAATGTATGGTAAATTCATATTAATTCCCTATTAATTATCTGAGACCCCAATGTATATAATAAGAAAACAATGTCAATATAATCTGTCTCATAATCTGTCTGTATATTCTAGTATCTATAGATTTCACGGTGTTTATAGTTTGCATTTGTTTCTTTTATGAATGGCTCTTTCTCCCTCCCGCTAGTGTCAAGGATACTAGCCTAGCCCTTTCAGCTATGAGGCTATTCACTTCAGTTACGAGACTATCCACTTCAGTTACGAGACTATTTACTTCAGTTACGAGACTATCCACTTCAGTTACGAGACTATCCACTTCAGTTACGAGACTATCCACTTCAGTTACGAGACTATCCACTTCACACACTAACTCACCGTCTGATCCTATAACACTCGCTCTCTTGTCCGGGTCCACCACTACCACCACCACCACCACCACCACCACCACCACCACCACCACCACCACCAGCATGCAGCCACATCACCACCACCACTCTAAACTGCAGAAAGAGAATATTTTTAATTCTACTTCAGGAACTCTAATCATTTCTCTTTCAAGTCTCCAAGTCTCAGAGAGTGGGTGTAACAGCAGCAGCGTGTACTGACTGACTGACTGACTGACTTAGGCCCTGGTGGAAGTTTGATAGGAGCTGGTTATAGCCTTGAAGTTGTTGCAGATGGCACAAGTTTAAATGAATTGGGATTTTACTTCCGGCATAGTGATAATAATGTTTACGTGAGGGTTTGTAGTTTGTTATAGATGATGGTGGTGGTAGTGGTGGTGGTGGTGGTGGTGGTGGTGGTGGTGATGGTAGTGGTGGTGGTGGTGATGGTGGTGGTGGTGAAGGTTAGTGGTGGTGGTGGTGATGGTGGTAGTGGTGGTGGTGGTGGTGATGGTGGTGCTGCTGATGATGATGATGATGATGATGATGATGTTATGATGATGATGATGATGATGGCTCGTCTGGTTTTCTGAGGAAAATAATTGGGAACCTTTCGACCAATCAGGAACCAGGAAACAGCAACAGTGTCATGTAAGGAAGCTAATTGGTTGCTTAGCTAAGGGCCGGGAATATAGTGTAACGAACAGGATATAGAGTTACGAGCAGGATATAGTGTTACGAGCAGGATATAGAGTTACGAGCAGGATACATTATTTTCCTATTAGTAAGCAAGGGGTGTCATCCCCCTGTGTTTAACTCATTAAACTTCTTTTCCAACTTTTCCCCCCACGACTATCTGTTGTGACTTCTCTATCCTTCATGTCTGGCTGTGCCTTGAGCCCCAGCATGCCTTCCATCCTTTCCCCACCTTAACCTAAAAAAAACAAAAAAAACAAAAAAACGGTACTTGATGTTCACCCCGCTGGCTAAATTGGCACTGGCACTAGTAAGGAAGGCAGCCAAGAAGATGGAAAAGAGAGTTGGTGCCAGTACACACCCTTGTTTAACCCTGTTAGGATAGGCAAGAACTCAGACTAGGTGCCGTTGTGCAGGACACTGCCGTTCATGCCATCGTAGAGTTGCCTCACAATGGCGATGAATTGTGGTGGGCAGCCTAAACGGCTGAAGGTCCACCAGAGGGCCTCCCTGTTGATGGAGAAGAAGGCCTTGGTCAGGTCGATGAAGGCCATGTACAGGTCACGACGCTGTTCTCTGCACTTTTCCTGTATCTGGTGGGCAGCAAAGATCATGTCAATGGTGTCACGTGCTGGTCTAAAACCACATTGAGATTCAGGGAGGAAGTTTTCCGCCTCAGGAAGAAGTCTGTTTAGGAGGACTCAGGCGATAATCTTGCCAGCTACGGAGAGCAGCGAGATCCCACGGTAGTTGCCACAGTCTGACCGGACCTCCCCACACCACACCACACGATGTCTCAATGACCACGTGAGGTCCTTCATATCAACACCCGAGGACGAGTTACTGCACCACGTGAACACCACACCACCCGGTGTCCCCATGACCACGTAAGATCCATTATACCAACACCCGAGGACGAGTTACTTCACCACGTGAACACCACACCTCCCGGTGTCCCCATGACCACGTGAGATCCATTATATCAACACCCGAGGACGAGTTACCACACCACGTGAACACCACACCACCTGGTGTCTCGATGACCAGCCCAGGCCCGGGTCATCAACTGTAAATATTATAATTTGTATGTTCAATTCATGTTCCTTCTCCTTTCACTAATTAAAGCTTTTGTTAAACGACCCACCCACCCACCCCATGTCTTTGTATGGAATAAGTAATTTTTGTCCAATATATATTTGCAGCCTTCGGGCTGCAGAACTTTCTCAATAAACCGTTATCACACACACACACACACACACACACACACAAACACACACACACACACACACACACACACACACACACACACACACACACACACTGGAATTTTTTGTACATCTTCAAGTTTATTTTTATTTTCTTTCTTTTTAACAAACTTTTACAGCGCTTCCACCGTCGACCTGAGTTTAAATGGAAGCTTTCATATCAGCTTTAAAAATGCTTGGAGTCTGAATTCGCTGTTTTTCACGTTTGATTTAATTTGAGTGTACCCCTAAATTTTCAGCCTTTAAATTTTATGTTCCTGAATATTTGTGTAGGTATTTCCACCCCTGATAAAACATTCATTCGTCAAGTCGAGGAGTCCAGCGGAGTGGCTCTTTTTATTTTTCTTAAATTTGTTTATTAACGTCTGCATAAATTAATTTTATTTGTATTTTCATTTTCTTCAATTATTTCTTCGTCTCGTCATGAATGTGGATGGAACAAGAGTATTCATTAGGCTCTCGTGTCTGTCTGTGTGTTTGTATGTAAGTCTCTCATGAAGATATTGTTGTGAAAACCTTATTATAAAAGATGGAATCAAAATTGCAACTCAACAAGATGTTTGTGGTGATATTGGTACCCCTGACACCTGTTTGTGGTGATATTGGTACCCCTGACATCTGTTTGTGATCATAGTGGTACCCCTGACATCTGTTTGTGATCATAGTGGTACCCCTGACATCTGTTTGTGATCATAGTGGTACCCTTGACATCTGTTTGTGGTCATAGTGGTAACCCTGAAACCTGTTTGCCTCTCCTCTCAGATTATATCTCCCTCTTCACTCTTCAACTTGTCAACAAAATAAAGCTTTACGAAAATATACTCGAAAATTGTTATAATCTGAAAAAAACTATAAATTAAGTATAATTAAAAGTTTGTTGTGGTCTTATATGTGATCTAAAAGAAAATTATATTGTAACTCTGTTGGTGATGTTAAGACGACAATACTGGAGTCTTATAGGATGACACAAAAGATATGAACTTGACAGAATAGAAAAGGGTCTTGAACGCAGCTGGAGAACAAAGTCTGCTTTATAAGATTGTTTATCATTAATGGATACTATTGTTACCCGAGTCTCATTAACCAGGGAGGTTTAAAAGTTGCTATTTCAGGTAATCAAAACAAAAACAATAACACGAATTGGATTAAATTGAGCTATTTTTCCTTTTTTTGTATTTTATAGTTTATTATTTTCTTTCCTTTTCATTTGTTCTCTGTGTGTCTCTGTTTCTCTCTCCCGTTTTCATTCTTCCCTCATCTTTCTCTTTCTATATAACTTTAATCTTTGTTTTTCACTAGCTCCCTCTTTCTCATTCCCTTCTTTTCTATTTTATTCGTCTCTTTCTCTCTATAATCTCTATTCTCTTAATCTTTCTTTCTCCATCACACTTTCCATCTCTCTCTTTTATTTTGTTTCTCCCTCTCAATATATCTTTCTCTCTTTGTCTTCTCTGTCTGTCTATGTCTGGCTCGGGTGAGGGAGTTACCACCGGCCAGTTAACTCTTGAACTATATTAAGGCTCTCTCACTCACTATCTCCCCTCTCCCCTTCCCTCCCCTCCCTTCCTCTCCCCTCCCTTCCCTTCCCTCCCCTCCCTTACCCATTTTTTTTTGTTGATCTTCCGTGAGATTTATTTCCATTATTATTTTCTTTTACACCTCCGCTTACTTAATTGAGAGAAAGGTGGTAAGGTTGTCCGTTTGTCTGTGTCCGTTTTTTGTACGTTTTTGTGTTCGTTTTTGTGTCCGTTTTTGTGTTCGTTTTTGTGTTTGTTCACGTGTCTGTTTATAATGACCGTCTGTGTGTCTGGGGGATGATATTAACTCAAGTTTGGTTAGTCGATACACGTTAACAAGATGTCAGCTCAGTACAATATAAGCTGCCAGTGTTTTCTATCGTCTTAATTGTTCCTTTAGCTTTACACACTGAAATCTTTATATAACGGACTTCGATTTAACTGACTGGTTGACTGACTATTCTGACTGACTTACTGACAGACTCATTCATTTATTATCACTGAATGACACTGGTAAATGAAAGCAGGAATGAAGGCAGGAATGAAGGCAGGAATGAAAGCAGGAATGAAGACAAGAATGATTGAAGAAATTAAGGCAGGAATGAAGACAAGATTGAAAGAAAGAGTGAGAACAAGAATGAAGGCAGGAATGAAAACCGGAATGAAGACAAGAATGAAGGCAGGAATGAAAACCGGAATGAAGACAAAAATGAAAGCAATTATGCAGAGGAAGGTAAGAATGAAAGTAGGAATGAAGGCAGGAATGAATGAACAAATTAAGGCAGGAATGAAGGCAAGAATTAAAGCAGGAATGAATGAAGAAATTAAGTCAGGAATGAAAGCAAAAATAAAGGCTGGAATGAATGAAGAAATCAAATCAGGAACGAAGGCAAGAATGAAGGCAGAAATGAAGGCAAGAATGGATAAAAGCACGAATGAAGGCGGGATTGAATGAAGAAATTACGGCAGGAATGAATGCAAAGATGAAAGCAGGAATGGATGAATAAATGAAGACAAGAATGAAGGCTTTGTGTCAGGGTAGACGGTAAATGAAGAACTAAATGAATGATGCAGGATAACGAAGAGAGAGAGAGAGAGAGAGAGAGAGAGAGAGATATGAAGGAACAGAAAACGGATGAGAGAGAGCAGAAGGGAGGAAAGAATGGAAGAAGGGAGGAAAGCAAGATTAAGAAATGGAAGAGGAATAAGTGAATGTGGAGAGAGAGAGAGAGAGAGAGGCAAGTGAGCAGTGGTGAGTGAGTGGTAAGAGTGAGTGAGTAGATAAGTAAAGTTTGAGGGAGTGGCAGAATAAAAGCTTAATGTGGACAGTCAGCTTACTATGGACAATATTGCTTACTTTAGTCACTAAGCTTAATATGGACAATAAAGCTTCACTTGAAAAAAATAGAATGGAAAATAAAGCCTAATTCTCTAACATATCAGCTTATCTGCTTGATCTCTCTCTCCTCTCTCTCACATTCTTTCTTTCTTAATTCTCTCTTTCTCACAAGTACTCGAAGATGGGTGGAGGTAGGTGGAGGTAGGTGGTAAGGTGGATGGAGGTAGGTGGAGGTGGGTGGAGGTGGGTGGAGGTAGGTGGAGGTAGGTGGAGGTAGGTGGTAGGTGGATGGAGGTAGGTGGAGGTGGGTGGAGGGTAGGTGGGTGGAGGTAGGTGGAGGTGGAGGTGGGTGGAGGTGGTGGGTGGGAGGTGGGTGGTAGGTGGATGGAGGTAGGTGGAGGTAGGTGAAGGTTGGCCGCTACATGTTGGCATAAAACACAACCGCTACATGTTGGCATAAACACAACATTGTTTCAATATTAATGCAAATACACGCGAGGGAGGAGGAGGGGGAGGAGGAGGGGGAAGAGGAAGGAGGAGGAGAAGGAGGAGGAGGAATAGCCCGTCTTATCTCTACAAGGGACTCACACACACCTCTCCTTCACACCACTTGATTCATCTCTTATTCATGAAATTCTAAAAGGCTATTTGCCTCCACAACGCGTCCCGCCCTTGGTGCTTGGTTCCTGTGGATTTTTGAATGGTAACGAGAAGGACAAAATAAAATACAATACACAGAATAATGGAAATTAATGTACACAGGTAAGTAAAGTGGTAAGATATAGGAGGAATGAGTCGTGCAAGAGATACAGTATGATTTGTATGCATGAGGAATGAGTCGAACAGAAGTTTTCACTGATCATCCATTTTTCATACAGCTTTTGGCTTATTGATTATATTCGATCTCTTCATCTTGACCTTTGACCTAATGAGTGAGGGTCTGAAGGGATAAGGCCCTGGAATAGTAATACAACGAGAAAATAAAACCAAACACACTAGCTCTCTTATTTGATGTGTCGGTCAGTCAGGGTTAGGTTTACAGAGCTGGTTAACGCCACTAATGATGCCATAAAGGTTTCTAACATTTACTTAACCTGGTGTAGCACTAGTGATAGGGAGCAGCTATGAATGATTAATTAAACACTTCGTTTCAAGAGCCGCGGCTTAACACTTCTGCCGCGTCGAGCTGTCACACCTGAGCAGTGGTTGACGTCAACGAGGGCAAAACGGTCCCAACACCATCACCTCCATCACAGTCAACACCTGCCCTTGACGTTGACGTTCTACTGTATGTTATTGCTGCCCTTCAAACACTAAGGTTTTTAAGCGAGTAAGAAGGTCCATCAACAAGTATAATTTAGGATATAAATCTCTGTTGCCTCCCCTACTTAATTTCGCCTCACCAAATTCAATTCTTAATATCACTGAAGCACTGACAGGGAATATGGTGGATCTTACACAGCGAGAAGAGTTGGGTCTTATGTGGAGGCTTTCTGTGCCCTTGGTTAGGCATACGGTTAGGAATGTATTTCGTAATTCTCATACATATTCCAGCAGGGTTGATCAATAGTGTATGGGCAGCTCATCGTGATCTACACCGAATTCGATTTGTATCCCTTCATTACAGTATACAAGTGCTTTCCTCCACTACATGTCCGTCGTGTTCAATGGCTTAAGTAAATTTTGAGACACAGTTTTTTGTTCTGCGTTAACACATACTAGATCACTGTCTCAAGTTTCCTATGCGTTACAACTGAACACTTTAAAGATATTGTTATACCTTTGGACGTACTAGATAATTTATTTCTGCCTCCCACGTACTTTACCTGAGGGTTGATTTACACAACTTGGTTTCTCTTTCACTTTGGAAGTATTGGTGTGACAGGTGCTAAGGCGCTTACTTCCAGGTAAGTCCATTAGGGGACAACCTGGGCTGTTTGCTGACAGAGTCCGTTTTCAGGGCTGCTGATCACTGCTTCCATGCGTGGTGGATTAACGCCCTGAACAAGAGTGCAATATACAGTAGGGTACTAGTGAATCAGGTCATTGTCCTTATTTGGGTAACATGTGAATTAACATGTTTGTTATTGTATATTATCCATAAGATTACTGCTGCTGCTGCAAAATCCAACACAAAATTGTATATATATATATATATATATATACTGTAATGGGACTTTCTGTTTATATATTTCAACTGTTACTACAATAAAACGTTTTCATAATCTCGCTAGAAAAACAGTGATGACACTCGTGGATTCAGGCAAACGTAGGAAAATCAGTTGTTGAAGCCTTTGTCGGGATAATTTACTTCATTATAGACTTTTTTCGGCAAGACAGACAGTGACTCAACATACTGTAGACAAGGTAATCTAAACAGTGGTTATTTTGTTTAGATTCAAATTATATTACGTTATATTATGCTATATCATCCTCTATGTGCAGCTGTTCAGGATTCAGTACGCTGAATCATACATCGGTAAACTTATATTCAACCCCATGCGGAGTAAATGATAAAGACCTTATAGCAAAAATTTCACAGCTTAAGTGATGGATAAAGATCCTTAGTGTCACCGAAACTTTCACAATATACTCCAGCTCCTCCCCGGGATGCTGCTCCTCCCCGGGATGCTGCTCCTCACTATATCGAAAGTAAAGTATTCTTACATCATAACTTTGTGCATAAACTCGTGCGATATATTTATTCCTTAGGCAGTTTGGTCGTGTGGGCGCTAAACTATGGTTCGCTTATATGATAAAAGAGAGAGAGGGTTAATGTTGGGGGCCTTGGAACATGTGACGGCTCAGTGGCCTTTGAGCATGCTGTCGAGGGTTTAGGTGTTAAAGCCCACTGGTTCTTTTAAAGATTACTGTCAGGTGGAAGACTTTCGCTTTTACCAAGGATACTGAACAAGATTATGGATATTTGTAACAAAAGATATCTATTTATAAGTATTTACACTGATAATCGGCATGAAGACAGTACAGAGCAACATAAGCACAAGTACAGTAGGTAGGGAAGTGCCAGACTGCCGGTGAGAACAAGTGTTGGGAGTGTAAACACTTGATGTCAAGCGTGGGTGGGGTCTTGTATATCCACACGGCACAGGTGGTTAATTGGTGTCTCCTCAACAACTTCACAGGAGATCAAGTATCCTCCTAACCGGCACAGGTACTTGATAATGGACCAGGGAAGAAGAGCACAGGGGCTAGGGCTGACAGTGTCCTAGCTGGCGTGTTGACATACACGGCTAGGAGTGCAGCAGTTCACACCAACGTGACCATGAATAAAAAGAGGTAACAGGTGACCAACCGGGTAAGGAGAAGGGGGCCAAGTGACCAGCCATACTGTTACACCCCGCACTGTAACTCGGCTCGAACTACCCATGAGCAACACCTGCTTCAGATACAGAGATCAAACCCAACACTGAACAACACAGTTCCAACAATCATTGAACTGGAATATAAATCCCTTACACGTGTGATGGATCAGGGGCCTTATGAACGTGTGTGACCGCTCAGGGTGCTATAGTATTAGAGTGTTTGGAAGTTAAAAGAGGAAGGTAGATTCATTCCTTCATTGGCTGAACGAAATTAGATATATAGTAAATAATTGTGGGGTGTCAGGTATATGGATGATGCAGGAACAATATAATTCAGTTTGGTTAAAAAAGCTGATCAAAAAAATATAAATATGAGTGGATTACTCATTGGTGTACTAACCTGAATATTTTATCACCATGGTTGCAATGCTATCACACATATTCCAACTCTAGACATATATGCCTTACTAAAGATCACTCTGAGAATTATTCCGCCCAGATGGTACTGACCAACCCGACTGACTCATGTCCATATATACGGTGACTTTCCCTCCTTGTACATTACCTTTGGCTCCCTCCCTATGGTAAAAGTTTCTCTTCTCTTCCTCCCTCTCTGTCCACATATTCTCCTTCTTGCTTGAATCCACATTAAAGTAAGCCAGTGAGGACAGCTCGTCATTACACTACATGACAGCGATGTTGTTCTCCTTGTGACTGTTATTATTTAGTGTTGATCATTATACACGCGATAACTATTACTCGACCAGAGACCCGCGGATTAAGTGTTGACGCGAGCTACGGTGGCCAATACACGTCGTTAACTAATATTATTGGTGTTCTATGACCGAGGTGCGCACATGGTAGAGCGTCAGATGTAATATTGATATACGAGATGGGAACCAAGAGGCACCGGGATGTGTGTATAGAAATGCATGTTTGTGTCTGCTTTTGGTTGTGTTGTCGTCTTCTTGTGAACCCTAATGCTGGGCCACGTCTTGGTGTGAGTCACGCCAGGGAGGATAAACCAGATGCTTATACACAAAAGTTCCCCGTCAGCGATATATGTAAACAAAGTTGATTTAGCTTCGATTACACGAACATTTTGATTTTTTGGAAGTTAAGACGAAAACGACGGAATTTGAAAAGTAAATGAGGACAAGTTGATGATAAACCCTTCTAGTTTACCGTGGTCTGTTGTATCATAGCTTAGTACCAGACTTTACTTTAGCAGTTATGTGAAATATTATGAATAAATGTTCTACAATTATTTCATTTAAGACTTAAGTCTGAGCC